CTGAAATGTTTGTTTATATTTATGATAGAGAGATATCAATATATAATTTATTAATATATTATGGTTATAGTAATAGTAATAGCAATAGAAATAGAAAGCAATAAGTTTGATAGCTCCTTGCGTCATCTAACTTAAGGATCCATTGTAATATCTCGTTGATTGCTTTTTGTTACGATGGTAGTGATTCTAATCCAATATTCTCTTTCTCTTTACCAAGCTTACTAGACTATTCATCCTCCTAGGTTTTTGAGTATTTGAAACATACCCTTTAGGAGTCGATATTCCTTGCAAGCGAGTGCCAACACAAAATGAGTATACTATCCTCTTTCTCATCTCCATATAACTGGCATTCTCTTTGCTCGGTTAATCTAAGGTTATACATATATGTCCTGACAGTTAATGAGGCTAATATATATTCTCAGATTTTTGTCTGTTCATGGCCAGAAACTATTTCACACTGCTTAGCAAGGGTTAGTTCATAAGCAATTTGGTTGACGTCTCTTATTAGTCCTTCAATTTTTCAAGTGTTTTAAGTAATTTTTAATAATGTTTTTGCCGAAAGAGATCCCAGTATCTTGTCCGTTTAGATTCCTTTTAGTCTCTATTTAGGCAAGCTTTTTCGCTTTCTTGTTGTCTGTTAGACTTTGATGTCCAAAGACTAAGGGTAATGTTATTATTATTACATGGGCGAATCAAATATAAAACGGACTTCTTTTTTTGGGGCTAGGGAAATCACGTGACCGGGCTAGGACTTTTAGGGATTGAAATTAGAGATACGTAGAGCGGGTAACCACTCTAGTCAGTCCTCTATACAGAGCCTTTTACCTAGCTAGTAACACAATGTCTGAGCAAGAGGTACCATCGTCCGTTACACAGCGCGTTATTATTAAGTTCCTAACCAACGAGGGAGTCAAATTTTCTGAAATTTTGACCAGACTACGTGCACAGTTCGTGGAAAGAACGCTTTCAGATATTTGACTGGAACAAAAATTCGAAAACGGTCGAGAAACCGTCGAAAATGAGAGCCATAACTGCCGCCCTCTAACGACAACATTAGAGCAGTTCGATCTCATCGATGGTGATAGACGCTTAGAAATAACCATAGACACATAATATACTAGACACATGTATACTATGTATATTAGACATATGTGTGTCACTTTTCCTCTTTCCTTCTCCCCACCAACTACACGATTAGACAAGGATCGCCTTACTAGGCGCATATATCTATCCTTCCGTGTTCGTTTCACTCCTCTGCACAGACCGCGCAGTCTAGTATATATGTCTATGAAAATAACTGAAATCGCTTCAGTAGTAGGAATAAGCTATGGGAATGCTCAGTCAATAATTACGGAACACCTTGGTTACCGGAAGTGTCGGCAAGGTGGGTGCCACGTTTCCTCATCCAGGAACAAAAATGACCACGCGAGGAAAGTGATAAGTTGCATGAAATGCATTGGACGTCCTTCGAACATCCTTTCTACAATCCAGATTTATCACCATGTAACTACCACATGCTTGGGCCACTCAAGGAAGCGTTAGGAAGGTAAAGATTTAACGACGACGCAGGCGTGGAAGAGTTCGTGCGCAATTGGCTTATGACGCTTCCATCTTCTTTCTTCGAAGAAGAGGGCTTAAAAAGACCTCCGATCCGATGGAAAAAATGTGTTTACGTTAAAGAAGATTATATAGAAAAATAATTATATTTTTTTGTAATTTTATATTGCTTCAATAAATAAAAAAAAAATACCGGTTTATATTTGATTTATCTACATAGTTTTAATGATTATCAGTATATTCATGATTTTTTATACTTATAATTATAAATTTTATAATCGTAATTACAAAGATTTCATCTCGCACTGGTAATAGCGTTCAGCTCTTATTTGCATTATTTTTTTCTTTTGAATTTATTTTATAACAGAATAAATAATGAATATTAAATAATTAAATTTAATATTATGATTTTGTGTTGTCTCTTATAGGTTTAATTTGTTACTTGATTGTGTATCGAAAAACACGTCATTTATCCTGTTATGAAATAAAATAAATTCAAAAGAGGAAAATGATGCAAATAAAAGCTAAACACTATAGTCAGTACACGATGAAGTATTTAATATTTAATATTTAGATTGATTACAATGTACAACTAGAAGTTAGTTAAAAGTTAGTTTATTATATATTAATCACACCTAGATATTAAATTGAACTACTTATAAGTTTGACCCTTATAAATTTGTGTTGGCTCTTATATTTTATTTTAGAATTCAAGTTCGGAACAAAACGAACTCTGTTATCTAGTTGATACTGTTCATTAAAGAGAAATTACGTGGCCGCTCTCGGAGATCCCCGCATGTTGTGCACGGAATTTCCCACGTAGCTATGATGGCGGAGGTGATGGTTAAATCTCGACATTTGCTGACTTGTACGACAGGGTCGTCTATCAGGCGTTAAACGGAGTCCAGCTTCTGACGGCGATTTTCCCGAATGACGCGACATAAATGCGTCGCTGTTTTCACTACAAGAGTGGAAGAAAAATCGTAGTCGTCTATACGTGTTTTGTACAGCCGACGCATGTGCGAACGTTTCGAACGGTGCCAAGCACCGAGTAGCTCCCAGTCGCGTCTATACGTATCTTTTAATTACGATCCGATTCCACGAAAGTAAGACGATGTTTGATTGCGACGCGATAACGCAGAAAAAATGTTACGTTAAGATGCAGATAAATGTATTTATCTGTAATGTAATAAAAGTAAAATATGAAATTTAAATATAAAAAAGAGAGAAAAATCGAGGGAATTGAAATATACAGTTATCTTATATAGAACATTTCTTGATATCTAATTGGAATACAGTCCTATTTCTCAACAAATCTTGCTTCCAAATGGAATCTGGATGAAAATTTATTTTATTCTACAAAATAATAAATAATATGTTATTCGATATGCAATTAAAAAATGAATCAAGCTTATAAGAACCAAGAGAATCATAGTTATAAATAATTGAATTTATATGTGTAATCAATATATAATTAAAAAATAGTTAATGCTTAGTGAGTTATATAATAATTACATAATTATTAAATTATTTATAACTATGATTCTGTGTGAGAAAAAATGTGTGCAGATTCGGGGTTTATAATATTTTAAACACATAATTTTAAATAGAAAACTCAAATACAAATACAAATATATTTGCTTTCTTCAACAATTTTCCAGATTTTTCTAGTTTTTTTTATTAGAATTAAACAAAAAATATATAAAATATCTTAAATATTTTCACTTTACAAATATAAATATTTAAAATTTATAAATATTCGGTGTGTTAAAAATTCTTTTTTCATTTTTTATTCAATGATTGAATTCAATAATTGCTGTAAGGTGAGATTTCCTATTTGATTCCACAAAATATCGATTTTACTAACTAAAAAAGCATGAGTTTTTAGCTAATATATTAATAGTATATTAGTTCCGATTCTAAATAGAGAATCTATGTTTGAAATAAAAGTGAGGACGCACTAATTGATATGATAATAAGGTAGAAAACTGTGTAGAAAAGAAACTTTATTTTTTTATATACATTAGTTTCTCTGTTGTTAAACATATTTCGACATATATTAAATTTGGTTCTGTTAGATTTTATATTAGACGTACTTGGGGATATCGAACTTCCGTCTCTTGCCAATGATATTTACAAACACTCAAGAAGACTTTACGTCTATATAGAAGAGCATATGTATAATAACAAGAAAAACACAGAAACATATATCGAGCTATTAAAAGACAGTATAAAGTCTGTTATAATGAAACAATATGAAATTTTACAGGCCAAGTTGCTTTCTGCATACGAAACAAGCCAGTTGCTTTCTGCTCATTTCTGTCAACTGTACACAAATAATTTTCATTTTATTACATATTAATAAAGAACTTAGAGAAAAAAAAGTAATTGAATAATTCTATATGCTAATTCTATAATATCTATTTTGGATCAAATTTTTACATTCTAAATAGGCTGTATATAGCATTTTGGGAAATTTAAAGAAATTACTATATTATATTATATAGAATATAATAAAGTATATATATCAAAGTTTATATATATATCAAGTTTATATATATATGTGTGTGTGTGTGTGTGTGTGTGTGTGTGTGTGTGTGT